AAACTAGCCTCATCTGTTCCTGGCAAGCCCCCTCCTTTATCCCCCTGGACACTGGCCCCAGAAAGGCCTCTCCGTCCTTTCCCACCAAAGTTTGCAGGGTGAGAAACAGAGCGAGGGGCTTGGGTGTTCGCAGAGGTGCAGTGCCTGGCGCCTCCAGGGTCCATGGGTGTGGGCCGCAGTGGGCCCTGGGTGTCTCTGAAACGTCCCAAGCAAACCTAGTCCCATCGATAGAGCTAGTACCCCTGGTCCACGGAGCTGAGTGCAGGACCAAGCCTTGTGACATTTGCCCCCGTTTCCAGAAGGCATGGGGCTGGCCCTGGCCTCGCTGACAAATGCAGATTTCAGGAGACATTAGTAGTGATGTGGATGAAAGCCAGGCCACAGCGGCCTTGCTGGAGAAGAGAAACTTGAACGTTTTGGCGTGAGATTCCGCAGGGTCCAGGAGAAAGTTGAAGACATGGAAATTCTAATTAACGCACACAGGGCTGGTTTTGCTCAAGGACCTCCAGGCTGTCATGTCGCAGGAGGCCTGCAAGTATATGCTCGCTGGGTGTGTGTGAGCGTGTGTGAGCCTGCTTGCTCGTGGTCACCTGGTGGGTGACCTGTAGCGCCCCAGCCTTGGCCTTGCCTTCCCTCTGCTTGCCTTTCCTAGAAGGCCCCTGGCCTGCCCTGTGCCTATCTTGGTGTACAGGGTGCTAACCGAACTCTTCCCCCTGCAGAGCGGGGCAGAGCGGTGGCTAGTTAAAAAGAGCTGAATCTCGCCCACCCGAGATGCCGTGATGAGAGATGGAGGGACCAGGGACCAACTCTCCTGGAGGGACCCTTCAGGGAAACCACAGGCTGCTGTGCTCACAGAGGGTCTGGCCACTTGAACTACCTGTCTTGGGTGTCCACGTGCAACCGGTGGGGCAGATGTGGGTGCCAGGCCACTCCTGGCTGACTGCAGCCGTGGGGAGGACCCCATAGGGATGGCCGCCGTCTCCCAAGGCTGCTGAGAGAAAGGGTTCCCAGGCCACGGCCCACACACAGCCCTGGAGCTCAGAGCCACAGGTCCCGATGCTGAGGCCAGTTCTGACCCAGCCGCCCCTGGCCCTGCACGCCAGCACCCATGCTGAGGCGCCCACAGCCCTTGCTTCATCTCCTCCTCGGGAGGTGCTGGTTGGGGGCCCCTGTCTGCCTTGGGGTGGGAGCCATAGTCCTGGAGCTCCCTCCAGCCTGGGGCTTGAGGGGTGCCAGATAGGGAGAGGCCCAGGGGAGCTGCACATCGCCCGCTCCCCAGGAGCCGAGGATCCTGGGAGACAGGTACCCAAAAAGGAGTCCCAGGGCCCGTACTAGGGCACAGGGAGCTGGTACAGAGGGCCTCAGGGCTGAAGGAGGACGCGGCTGCCTGGCCTGTGGACGTCCTGCGCCTCCTTGAGAGGGGATGACTTGAGAGGGCCTTGGAAAGGTGAGCAGGAATCTCATGGCTGCAGAGGAGTGCCAAGGCTGTCCCCGATGGGACACCGTGTGCAAGGCACAGGGATGCACACAGGGGTGGCCCTCCCCTCAGGGGGCAGGAGCCTAGGAACTCACCCCAGCTCCCGGGGAGCAGGGCTCCGCTACGCCCCACTCCCCCAGATGCCTTGTCTCCTGCCTCACACTTGCTCCTTGGAAGCCCTGTGGCAAGACTGGGTGGGGGGTCGGGGGGGCACAAATGCAGACAGCCGCCTGCTGGCCCTGCTGGCCCTGGAAGACTATCTTCCTGAAAGGTGTGGGTGCGACTCCGGCCCGGCCACCCAGATTCGTGTGAGGGCCCTGGAGCTGCCCAGGGGCTTGCCTGTGGGGCTGGAGTGCCCGAAGCTACTGTGTCTCCCCTGCCCACTGCACCCTGGGCCCTGCTCGCCGGCAACCCCCTTGGTTACACCAGGCTGGCTTGCTGACCCCCAGTCCCCTGACCCCTCGCTCCACCGATGGCCAACAGGCCCCGGAAAGAGGAGCTTCGCCCAGCCCCAGGGACCTTCCCGTAATCAAGGCTGCAGTGACCTCACCTCCCTGGGGCCCAGCGGGCGGGGAGAGCTTGAGATGGAAACAAAATGTGTCTTTATTTATGCTTTTAATTTGAATCCTGGAACTGGCCCAACATGGTAATACATTTAACATCAGTAAAATGCTGAAGAAAAATGGATCTGTTTTTCAGTAACTGCCTCCCACCCACTCTGCCCGCTGTGAGACCCCCGCGCACACCCCCCATCCCTTACACACACCAGGGCGTGCGCCCCTCTCTTCCCCGCATGGAGTCCGTGGGGCTGAGCTGCCCGCAGGAGCCGAGACGGGTCCCCGAGCGGCTGGAGCCGAGTTTAATGAGGGGCATCAATCACCAGGCGGGCCGTGCGGGAGGCAAAGGAATGTGGTCCCAGCATGGGCACCGAGGCCCGGCCATCCCCCTCCCCGCCCTGCCCTGCCAGCAGTCACAGCCCTAAGTAAGCATGGTGCCCGGCGGTGCCACCTCCTTCCCCAGCCATGGTGGGGTGGGGCCTCTACCCAGCCTGCAGCCCTGGGGGCGCCTAGGTCTGAGGCCCCCACCGTCTCCTTCACTGTGCCTGCATCCCCCCTTCCCCACCTGGGCTCCCCCGAGCAGTACTCTGACTACTGAGGACGTGGGCACGCAGATCCCTTGTCGTCTCAACCTTGACTCTGTCTTGACCAGACCACAGTGCCTGGAGGTGTCCTTTCAACTGCAGCCTCGGTCTTTCCACTCCCAGCCTTCACTGCAGACCCTTCCTCCTAGCACCACGCCTAGGCTCCTTCCCACCTTCCCAGCTGCCTCATCTCCAGGGTCTGTACTGGTTCACAGGTTCTGGGGCGAGGACTCTACCGGGTGAGGACGGCCTAGGCCCAACCGGCGCTGGAGGGGACCACTCCTGCTACAACCAGCGGGCCACGCCATGCGACTGCTGGACCGAGAAGGCCCACCACAGGCTCTCTGGTTGGTGATGCCCCAGGCCCACAGCAAGCAGAGAGAGCTTGGGGCCTCTGTCTTGGAGGAGCGAAGACAAGAAACGGCCAGGCTCCTCTGACGATGCAGCTACACTGGCTCGAGTTCCCTCCTGGGGCTCCCTGGGCAGGTGGGCGGCCTCTAGCCTTGGGAAACGTGGTGCACGCAGATGCCAACACACATGGACCTCGCTTCAAAAGGGGGGACTGTGAAAGGCAGCTGTGAGCTTGGCTTTGGGCCACCTCGGTCCCCAGCCTCACCACCCTCACCCTGGGCCTCTCTGCAGGGGCCTTGCAGGGCCCGGGGAGCTGGTGAAGACTGACTGCCCTGCTGGATGGATGGTGGGTGATGGCCCTGTCCACCCGGGGGGCAACTCCTTGCATGTGCATTCTGGGGGCCAGGCCACGGCTGAGAGAACAAGGGAGAGTGAGCTCTGACAGGAAGAGAGCGGCCAGGAGGACAGGAAGGGGCAGGCTGAGCGGCACAGTGAGGCCTGGGTGCCGTCCACCCGCGTGAGGGTTGTGGTTCCCAGCAGGCTCCTGGCCGTCCTCGCTCTGAGCAGGCACTGCCACCTGGGCTGCAGACACCAGCCACAAAACTGCAACTATTACCGCTTTGGCGTCCTTTGCGCCCCAGATTCGGTACAGGCCTCAGCCAGAGTGGTAAGCTGGCATTCTGCCTTGGGACGCTGACCTGCACCTGCCCATCCCACCGGGCACCCGCCACTGCTCACGCCTCCGCCCTTGCCCATTTATCAAGTGAGCCTATCAGGTCATCTCCGGGATGGGCCCAGAGGTCAGAGCCACCTTCCCAGGGGTGGCCTGGAAGCTTGCTCCGGTGCCGAGTCCACGAGGATGAATAACCCTGCTTCCCAGTGACCTGGGTGGCTCCCACCAAGCCTGAGAATGCTTTCTGTGCACACCCTGCTATCCATGGGGTGCTGTCCACCTCCCTGTGAGCCGGGGGGCCTGGAAGGATGGTAGGCCATCCTGTCTGATCACGGTACCACCTTGAGACAGTCCAACCCTCCTCTCACTCTGGCTCCCCGACTCTGTCAGTCCTCTGGTTACAGAGCAGCCAGGAGGCCCTGCAGATCGGGTCCCGATTCCTCGGTCATCTGCAAGGCAAAGGCCACACCTGGCCGGCAGCACAGGCAGCCAGCCTGGGGCCTCACTCCCAGAGATATGCACACGGTTCAGGACAACCTCGAGACCCTTAGAGAGTCCGGAGAGCCGAAACACGCCTTAGTGACTCCGCAGAGAGAAGGAAAGAAGGCCAGCAAGTGACTCTCAGAAGGGCCGGGAGGGCCGCTCACACACCCCAGCACAGAAGGACTTCTCTGGGGAATCCCCAGTGGGGCAGTGGCCAGAACGGGCCCGCGTGTCCCACTGACCCCGCCACAGGCTGTCACCACTGGGTGCCCTAGCCGGGAGCACTGAGTCACGTCGGAGGGGAATCACACCATGGCCGGGCCCCAGGGATTGGCCTGGCGATACCGCGACGGTGGGGGAGGACGGGCATGCGTCCCAGGCCAGCTGTGCCTCGGGGGCAGGCCAACTGGAAGGCGTGGAAAATCAGCCATTTCCTCCACCTGAAGGAGCCCCTGAGGACAGCAGCGGCAACTGGCAGACAGCAGTCGGCATCTGCCCCGTGGCTTTGGCCAGGGTTCCACTGGGGAAATGCGAAAAACAAAGTCGTCTCTTTTTTGGGGGGCAGGGGAGGGGGCTAGGGGAGAGAAAAACAATCTTCTCAGACGCTCAAAGCACGAAAACAAGTGGAAAATGATCAGTCTGGTTTTCCATAAGTCAAAACAAGAGGATCGTGTTCCCAGGCTCGGCGGGAAATGCCCTCGCTCTCCTCCCCGCCTGGTGCCCGGGCACTGAGGCCAGCCCCTGGTGGTCGGTGGCCCCAGGTTGCTGAGGGCAGGCAGCGAGCGGTGGGCACTGAGTGAGGAGACCTGAGCCCTGGCCCGGCACCGAGCCCCACGCCCTCCTAGCTCATCACCCCCGGGTGAGCGGACACTCACTGCGACACATGGGTGATGGGCGCCAGCAGAGTCTCCCCTTCCAGGTCCAGGTCCTCGGCAAAGCTGTTGGTTCTCGTGAAATGGGCCGTGCTCACTTCCAGCAGCATGGGGCTCTTTTTCACTGTGGGGGAAGATGCGGGACAGCACGTTAGGCTTCCATGGAAGGCTTGATGGCAGAGGGGGCCCAGGGTTGCTCAGAGCTGAGATGCTCACCCCAAGCTGCTACCCTGGCTGTGGGGCGGACCTGTGCCCCTGGAGCCTTCCCACAGACGGGTAAGATATCTACTCGCAGGGCTGGGTGAGGAGTGCAGATGGTGTATGAAGCCTCGGCACAGAGGACTGGCGGGGGGGGGGGCGTCCCGATGGCCCCCACGTGCCTGAGGCCACAGTGGTCAAGGAGCAGTTGAGAGCCGATGACACCTCCTCAGAGTGAGGACTGTGCCTGGGCTGAGCTCAGGTGTCTGGGCCTCTCCCCAGGTTCACACCAGACGTTCAGGTCAAGAATAGAACACAGCTGCCTGGCACAGGTCTGCTAAGACACGGACGCTCATCACCACGCTGTCACTGTCACGTGGCTGCATGGCTTTCGACGCATCCGTGAAGACCCAGGGTGGTAGGGCTCCTGCTCACAGAGCGTCGCAAGCCGGGGAGGAAGGGGCAGCCGCAGAGCTCCTGGCCCCTTGCGTCCGCCACCCGCACCCTGAGGGAGGCACAGGAACCGCCCCGACGGCTGGTGTTGGCATTCAGACTCCTGGGCCCACCCGCAGTGAGCAGGTGCTAGTGTTCCGGGCTGACTAAGAATAATTAGCAGTCCCCTGGTTTTCAATCTGGACCTTTTTTATTCTTCTATTTAAAGTTTTTGTTGTAAAATAACGAATTACTTGTAAAAAGGGACACAGCTCAAAGACTCACGAAGGCCTTCCTTCCCCGAGGTCATCAGCGTTAACCGCCAACTAGATTCCCAGCTCACCCCTCTGCTCACGAGAGCAGCTGACACCTGGAGGGACTTGCATTTATACACACGTGACGGCTCTGTTCCTGTCCCTGCAATGTGCCCGTCTCATTTTCCTACAGGTATTTAGACGTGGATCTAAGCCTTGTTTTAGTAATTGTGTAACAGTCTGTAGCTTAGATCTACCACAATTAACTCAACCAGTCCATGTGCGACGGACATTTGGTTCCATTAGCTTTAAGCCACTGCTTTAAGACGATGATGCACCCGTCCATCTTTACGAAAACCTGACATATTGAGGCAGGTGAGAGGGTGCTTCCTTGGTACGTTTAATAGGTGTGGCTGGATTGTTTTCCCAAGAAGTCGCATCAATTAGGCTCCAGCAGCAGTGTGTGCGCACATGCCACCTTCTCCACATCCATGTCCGCACCGGCCTTTGCAGCCTCTGCTGGGCCCGTCACATGTAGATGAAGACGGGCGTGGTGCCTTTCCTTCTATGCTGGATGCCCATTGTGGCTCAGAGGCTATTTGGTTTTCCTCTTGTGGGATTATCTGTTCTTATCCTTTGCTCACTTCCGTTCGTCAATTTGTAGGAATTTTTTTTCTATGCTAGAGATAATTAACCCGTTGCATGTGAGGCACAAGTGTCTTCCCCAGTCTGTCTCTGGTGTTTTTACCTTAATTATGGTGGTTTTGTCACAGAACGTTTTTTATGATTTTGAAGCGATACCTATCTTTTGCTTTTTGAAAGAGAAAGGATTCCCCACCCAAAGTAGTACCACCATCTCCTAAGTATAGACGTGTGTGTGTGTGTGTAAATTTTAATACATTTAGCACTTATACCTCACGTTGTAGGAGATCATCAACAATCAGAAAATGAAAATGTAAAGGTACTGCATGCAGTCTCACTGAAAAAACTAAAATGAAACACAAACTATAAATTCTCTTCAAGAAGACACAGGAGAAAGTCTCTGGATTTGATACCAAAAGCTCAGTCTGTGAGCAGAAAAAAATGGAAAAACTGGACTTTATCAAAATTAAAAGCATTTGCTCCGTAAAAGACACTGCGAAGGGAATGAAAAGACAAGTCATAGACTTGGAGAAAATGTTTACATGTCACGTGTCTGGTCAAGGACTTTGATCCAGAATACGTAAGGAACTGTGGCAACCTGACAAGAAAGCTAACAGCCCCGTTTTAAAAATGGATTACTAATAAGCTCATGAAAAGATGCTCAGTTCAACCAATACCAGTAGTTGTTAGGGAAATGCCAATTAAATCCACAGTGAGCTACCACTCTACCCACGTGAGAATGACAAAAACTTCTAAATGGCATCAGTTTCGGGTATTTGGTAAAGAATAAGGTTAGAGCCTTACTTTTCACTTTACATTAAGAAAAGAAAAAAAAGAAAGCGAAGCCTGACAATACCACGTGCTCATGAAGATGCAGAGCAACTAGAACGTTTACATGTTGCTGGTGAGAATGCAAAACGGTGCGGCCACGTTGGAAGAGGGTTTGGTGGTTCCTCGTAAAGTTCAACATACGTTTATCTTGTGACGCGTTGGTCCCTGTCCCAGTTATTTACCCAAGTGAACTGAAGATTTACATTCAGAAAAACCTGTACATAAGTGTGTATCGCAATCTTGCTTACAGCCGCCCCAACCAGGAAACAACTAAGATGCGCTTCAGTAGGTGAACGGATAAACTGTGGTACATCCATACAATGGAATTCCATCCAGCCCTCAAAGACGGGAACTAACGGTTCACGCGTGCAACGACACAGCTGAGTCGCAAATGCATCGTGCTAAGCAGTGAAGGAAGCCAGATGCAAAAGGCTACATATTACATGATTCCATTTATAGGACATTCTGGAAAAGGCAAAACTACAGGGACATAAAACAGATCAATGGCTGCTAGCGTTTAGAGGAGGGGGAGCACTTGACTTCAAAAGAGTTGCACGATGGAATTTTTCGGGCTATGGAACTTCTCTGTGTGATGTTGTGGTGGTAGGTACGTGACTCCAGGCATTTGTCAAAACCCATAGAACTGTACGTCTCCAAGAGTGAATTTTACTATACGCAACCCCCCGCTCCCCGCCAAATAAGCCTGTTGGAGGATCCAGGATGGAAAGCATACTGTCACGAGTGAATTCTGTATTACGAATACGTAACACAGCACTAAAAGGAGAGGAGAAGAAGGAGCTGGCCTGTGAAGTCTTGGGAAACAATCTTCTGATTGGATATGTTTAAAGCAAAAAAACCCCAAACTGTCATAAACACAGTATTCTAGTTGGTAAGTTTGTTTCTCATAGGGGTACTACAGGTACACTTGAGTTAAATAAGTAAATAATTATAGATGATGGGAGCCAGGATTCTCAATGTCAGAAAAAAAGTAACAGAGTTAGGGGGTGGTGAACGAACCCTGTGGTCAGAAATATCAGTATGAACTTACATTTAGTTTAAAATAGACACAAATAAATACAGATGTACGTGTACACTTGGGTTATTCACATACATACATTTCCTAGCTCTGTCCGCTGAGAGGCCCTAGAAGCAGTGACTAACTGTGGAGCAATGAGCACCTAGTGCCCAGATCCTGGTTTCTAAATCCCATTCTCCAGTAAAAGGAACCAGGGCTCTCTGATAGAATGGTGATTCTAGGGCTAGGGCAGGGGAAATATAAGATAAGCCTGAAGTATTGTCTAGTGTTAGAAAGGAAAGAAATGCTCAAAAATAAATAAATGAGAAGGATGAGGGCATATCAAATGGACACAGGAACTAACCCAAAAGAACTCTCAATCCAGTGACCAAAGCTAGAACAATTTGAGCAACAAAATAAATAATATTAAAAATATTATACAGAACCCTATCAAACATTTAGAGAAGAGCTAACACCCATCCTTCTCAAACTCTTCCAAAATATAGCAGAGGGGGGAACACTCCCAAACTCATTCTACGAGGCCACCATCACCCTGATACCAAAACCAGACAAGGATGTCACAAAGAAAACTACAGGCCAATATCACTGGTGGACATAGACGCAAACATCCTCAACAAAATACTAGCAAACAGAATCCAACAGCACATTAAAAGGACCATATACCATGATCAAGTGGGGTTTATCCCAGGAATGCAAGGATTCTTCAATATATGCAAATCAATCAATGAGATACACCATATTAACAAATTGAAGGAGAAAAACCATATGATCGTCTCAACAGATGAAAAAGCTTTCGACAAAAGTCAACACCCATTTATGGCAAAAACCCTCCAGAGAGTAGGCACAGAGGGAACTTTCCTCAACATAATAAAGGCCATATATGACAATCCCACAGCCAACATCATTCTCAGTGGTGAAAAACTGAAACCATTTCCTCTAAGATCAGGAACAAGACAAGGTTGCCCACTCTCACCACTATTATTCAACATAGTTTTGGAAGTTTTAGCCACAGTAATCAGAGAAGAAACAGAAATAAAAGGAATCCAAGTCGGAAAAGAAGTAAAATTGTCACTGTTTGCAGATGACATGATACTATACATAGAGAATCCTAAAGATGCCACCAGAAAACTACTAGACCTAGTCAATGAATCTGGTCAAGTAGCAGGATACAAAATTAATGCACAGAAATCTCTTGCATTCCTATACACTAATGATGGAAAATCTGAAAGAGAAATTAAGGAAACGCTCCCATTTCCCACTGCAACAAAAAGAATAAAATACCTAGGAATAAACCTACCAAGGAGACAAAAGACCTGTATGCAGAAAACTATAAGACGATGAAAGAAATTAAGGATGATACAAACAGATGGAGAGCTATACCATGTTCTTGGATTGGAAGAATCAACATTGTGAAAATGACTATACTACCCAAAGCAATCTACAGATTCAATGCAATCCCTATCAAACTACCAACGGCATTTTCCACAGAACTAGAACAAAAAATTTCACAATTTGTATGGAAACACAAAATACCCCGAATAGCCAAAGCAATCTTGAGAAAGGAAAACAGAGCTGGAGGAATCAGGCTCCCTGACTTCAGACTATACTACAAAGCTACAGTAATCAAGACAGTATGGTACTGGCACAAAAACAGAAATACAGATCAATGGAACAGGATAGAAAGCCCAGAGATAAACCCATGCACCTATGGTCACCTTGTTTTTGATAAAG